CAAATGAACCCACCCCAACTTAACCCAGATAAACCCAACTTAACCCAACACCTCACACCCCACTGGAGACCCTTCGACCCAACTTCACCCAACCCGAAATAAACTGGAGATGCTTTTAAACCGGTTCGGTTCAACCCAACAGGTCAGGGACCCGTCCCCCCCTCCTGCCCAATCGCAGTGGAGATCCTTCAATCCAACCCAACCAGCTGAGGATTCTTCCACCCAACACAACCCAACTCAACCCCACACTCTTCCACCCAACTCGACCCAACCCAAGTGGAGACTCTTCCACCTGACCCTGCTCCACCATCCCAACCAACTGGGGCCTCATCAGCTCCTTTCCACCCCAGCCTCACCTGCAGCTCTTTGAGCTTCTTCTGAAGTTGGCCAGCAATTGCTTGTTCATCCTCAATTCGAGCATTGAGAGCGTTGAGCTCAAAGTCTTTCCTGGAGAAGGAGAAACCCCCCTTTGTCAGCCCCACTTCGCAGAGCAGAGCGAGTTTAGGGCAAGGGAAAAGGGGGTGGCAGAAGCGGAGGGCAGGCCCCTACTTTTTCAGCCTCTCCTCCAGCTGCTGCTTGTCATTCTCCAGGTCCATGATGCTCTCCTGGGCCAGCTTCAAATCCCCTTCCAGCTTTCTCTTGGCTCTTTCCAGGTCCATCCGGATCTTCTTCTCCTGCTCCAGCGAGCTCTCAAGCTGAAAACAAGACAGAGACCTCCAGCAACTCCCAAGAAGAATCTTTTCCAACCAGCACGTGAGAAACAGGACTCACGTCGTCCACTTGCTGCTCCAGCTTCACTTTGGCCTTCGTCAAGGTGTTGACCTTGTCCTCCTCAGCCTGCAGGTCGTCCAGCGTTTGCTGGTGAGACTCCTGAAGGGCCTTTTTCTCCTTGGTCAACTTGACAATGGTCTCATCCAGCCCGGCCATCTCCTCTGTCAGGTTCTTGACCTGCGTGGGGGAGAAGCACCAGGCCTCCGTCTCAGTCAGCAAGAGGCCCTTCTGCCCCACACTCAGCCTGGAGAGAAGCCGGGAGATGTGGGAGAACCCAGACCGACGACTCTTGGTTCTTCTCAACCCAACCCAACCCAACCCAACCCCCCCCGGGTCTTCTCAACCGCCCCCCACCTTGTTCTCGGTGGCGTGTTTCTCCTTCTCCACTTTGGCCAGCGACAGCTCCAGGTCGTCGATGTCCTTCTTGAGCTCCGAACACTCATCCTCCAGCTTCCTCTTCTTGGCCGTCAGCTCGGCGTTCATCTCCTCCTCTTCCTCCAACCTCTCCAACATCTCCTTCGCCTTGGCCTCCAGCTGGATCTTGTTCTTGATCAGCTGATCGCAGCGCTCCTCAGCGTCAGCAAGATTGTCTTGCTCCTACGGAGGGGCACAAATCAGCGGCGCTGGGAAGGAAGGGAGCAGGAGGCAGCCGGGCTGGGAAGCGGCCATGGCGTACAGCCTGCACTTGCAGCTGGAGGTCGTTCTTCTCCTGCAGCATGGACACCATCTTCTCCTCCAGCTCCTTCCGACGCGCCTCTGACTTCTCCAGGGCCTCCTTCAGGCGCCCGAATTCCTCCTTCATCGTCTGCGTCGTAGGAGGGTAGCAGACGGACGCCGTCAGATGCCATCACCAAACAGTTCCTGCGCCCAGCAGCCCTTCACCCCCCCCCCATTTTGGCCCTGGCCCCTTTGCCCCCCCGTCCTCCCACCTGCATCTCCTTCTCAGTCTCAGCGCTCTTCAGCAAGGGCTTGATCTTAAAGTAGAGCTTCATCCAGGGCCAGTTCTTCACCCCCATGAAAGCACGGATGTTCCACTGGATGACCAGCAGCGAGTCCCTGCGTGGAGAGCCAACGTGGAGCGAGCTTGGGACTCACACCCCGACCCACGGCCGCCCCACTGAGCACCGCCAGCGGAACCCACCGGCGCTCCAAGATCTTTTTGAACTCCTGCCGGGAGAGGAAGCCACGAACTTGGGCCTGCAGGCGGGTCATGATGCGAGCCAGGCGCTCATCGCGCATCTCCTCCAGCAGCCCCAGCAGCCCGGCCTTAAAGAAAACCTTGGCGGGGGGAAGAAGGGAGGTGAGATGGGGTGGAACGGG